TTTAACGGAGGAGCCTATGCAGCTCGGGGCAGTGCGGCCACGCCTTTCCCCCGCAGAGAAGGCGCGGCGTCGGGAGGGAAATCTCTGTCTTTACTGTGGCGGAAGTGGACACTTCGCTCGGTCCTGCCCTGAGAAACGCCAGCCGCAGGGAAACCGCCAACCCCAGTAGCTGATGGCCCTAGCTACCGGGGGTCCCAAACCGCGCAGAATGGGCCTGCACCAATGGACTTGCAACATCTTATGGTTTCGGTACGTTTATACCCTCCAGGTGGGCCCTGGATCCTCACCCATGCTTTGGTAGATTCAGGGGCAACCCGCTCCTATATGGACGCTGCTTTTGCCGCCCATCATCAGGTGCCACTTCGGAACAAGCCAGTACCGGTCCAGGTGGAAGCGATTGACGGACGACTTCTGCGTTCAGGTGCCGTTACTCAGGAGACCCAGCCCCTGGTCCTGTGTTTCCAGCAGCACCGGGAGTTGCGAACTTTGGACATTGCCTCTATGCCCCGCTTCCCCCTGGTGCTCGGGATGGACTGGCTGGAAGCCCACAACGTTCAGATTGACTGGGTCAAACGGACCGTGCACTTCCCAGACCCATGTTCCCATGCTCAATCCGGGACGCTGGCGGCCGCGCCCTCAGAGGAGGCAGCACCCACGCTCCCAGCCGTGTATCAGGACTACCAGGACGTGTTCGAGGAACGGGGGGCAGACCAGCTGCCGCCGCATCGGCCTTTTGACTGCGGCATAGACCTCCAACCCGGAGCGCCTTTACCAGTGAGTCGCTTATATTCTCTAACAGAGCCAGAGCGCGAGGCTTTGCAGGACTTCTTGCGCAAGAACCTGGAGCGTGGGTTCATTAGGCCTTCCACCTCGCCTACCGCGGCACCAGTGCTTTTCGTTAAGAAGAAATGTGGGGAACTCCGCCCTTGCCATGATTACCGAGCCCTGAACAAAATTACCGTCCCAGACCGGTACCCCTTGCCCCTTATCTCGGAGCTGCTGGAGCGGGTGCAAGGGGCACAGGTGTTCACCAAGCTGGACCTCCGGGGGGCCTACAACTTGATTCGGATCCGAGCCGGGGATGAGTGGAAGACAGCGTTTGGGACCCGGTACGGGCAGTTCGAATATTTGGTTATGCCTTTCGGTTTGTGCAACGCGCCTGCTGTGTTCCAACGCTACATCAACCACGTGTTTCAGGACTTGTTAGACAAGTACGTGGTGGTGTATTTGGATGACATACTGATTTACTCCCGTGACCCGGCTCGCCATGAGGGACATGTCCGGACCGTGCTGCAGCGCTTGCGTGAGCACCGTTTGTACGCAAAGCTCAGCAAGTGCGAGTTCCATCAGCGGACTGTGGACTTCCTTGGTCACCGGCTCTCTCCGGATGGGGTGCAAATGGACCCGGGGAAGGTGACAGCGGTTCAAGAATGGGCGGCACCCCGGAACCGCAAGGACCTACAACGTTTCCTGGGGTTCGCCAATTACTACCGGACCTTCATCGCTGATTATGCTCATCGCACCACCCCGTTGACCCGGCTACTGCGCCCAAAGACGCCGTTTTCCTGGGACAAGGAGGCAGAGGAGGCGTTTCAGGGGTTGAAGGCCTGTTTCCAGAGGGCACCAATCTTACAACATCCTGACCCCTCTCGACCCTTTGTGGTGGAGACCGACGCCTCCAGTACGGCTCTCGGTGCCGTCTTGTCTCAACAGATTGGTCCTGAAGCGCCACTCTTACCCTGTGCCTTCTATTCCCGCCAGCTCCTACCAGCGGAGCGTAACTATACTGTGTGGGAGCGGGAACTACTGGCCATCAAGGTAGCCTTTGAGGTCTGGCGCCACCATCTTGAGGGGGCACGACATCCGGTGGAGGTGAGAACCGACCACCGGAACCTGGAGTACCTCCAGACCACCCGCAAGCTGAACCAAAGACAGATCCGGTGGGCGTTGTTCTTTTCCCGGTTCCAGTTTCGGATCCGCTACATCCCTAGCTCTCAGAATCAGAAGGCGGATGCCCTGTCCCGGAAACCTGAAGACAACGCAGACACGGTACAGCAAGCAGAACCCACCACGATCCTACCTCCGGCTGCATTCCTGGCCACCCAGGAGGCGCAGCCACTGCAGGTTCGGGTGCGGGAACAGCAGCGGGTCGACGCTTGGGCCCAGGAACGACTCCGGGAGCTGGCTGAAGGGTCCAGCCCACAGTATCCGGGGCTGGTCCTGCATCAGGGCCTTCTGCTGCACCACGGTCGTCTGTACATCCCGCCAGGGCCACTACGGCTGGAGGTTCTCCGGATGGCCCATGATGCCCCAGCAGCGGGGCACTTTGGACGGTATCGGACCACCCATCTGGTCAGTCGTGAGTTTTGGTGGCCCCGCCTGAAGGCTGACGTGGCTCGCTACGTTGCTGGTTGTGATGTCTGCCGGCGCGCCAAGGGACCTACCGGGCGACCCCCCGGCCTACTTCAGCCATTGCCAGTTCCACCGCGCCCTTGGCACACGGTTTCGTTGGACTTTGTAGTGGACTTACCCTCGTCTCGTGGTTGTACCTGTCTTCTGGTTTTCTCCGACCATTTCACCAAGATGGTGCACTGCGTTCCCTGTCCATCTGTACCCACAGCCAAGGAAACTGCTCAGCTGTACCTTCAGCATGTCTTCCGCCTGCATGGACTACCTGAGCGTGTGGTGTCCGACCGGGGCGTTCAGTTCACATCCCGGTTCTGGCGAGCATTACACCAGACCCTCGGGACAGAGGTCTGCCTCTCGTCAGCCTACCACCCACAGACCGATGGCCAGACGGAACGGGCGAACGCGGTGCTGGAGCAGTACCTCCGGTGTTACTGCAGCTACCAGCAGGATGACTGGGTCGACCACCTGGCATTGGCGGAGTTCGCCTATAACAACGCGGTGAATGCGTCCACCCAGCAGACCCCGTTCCAGGCCAGTTATGGTTATCATCCACGGCTGTTTCCAGAGGTGCTGCCGGCATCCGCGGTCCCGGCGGTGACGGAGTGGCTTCAAGAGCTCCAGTCCCAGCAACAGCTTTTGGTGGAGCAACTGCACCAGGCCAAGGAAGCGTACAAAGCCCAGGCCGACCGCCACCGCCAGGTGGGGCCGGAACTTCGCGTCGGTGACCTGGTTTGGCTCTCCACTCGCCACCTCCACCCCTCTCGACCTTCGCGGAAGTTGGACGCCCGCTTCACCGGCCCGTTCCCTATCGTAGACCAAGTCTCTCCTGTGGCATTCCGTCTCCGGTTACCCGCAACCCTGAAGGTTCACCCGGTCTTCCACAGGTCCCTTTTGAGTCCGGTGGCCCCACCCGACGAGTTCCACCCGAACCGTCCCCGACCGCAGCCAGTGTTGGTTCGGGGAGAGCCTGAGTACGAGGTGGAACGCATCCTGGACTCCCGATACCGCAGGGGAAAGCTGCAGTATCTCATTGACTGGAAGGGGTACGGACCGGAGGACCGTTCCTGGGAACCAGCGGCCAACGTCCACGCACCTGCCTGCCTCCGAGAGTTCCATGCGACGTACCCCGGCAAGCCGGGTCCGGACCCTCGGTTGAGGGGGGGGCCTGGGAGGGGGGATGGTGTGATGGCCTGGGATTCCGATTCGGAGGATGAAACAGAGGAATCCCAGCCTGCACAGGAGTCCCCGCCTCCAGGGCCGGCTGAACTGGGGCAAGGCCTAGATGCTGAAGAGCCTGCACCTGTGGCAGTGCATCAGGAGCTGGCCCCAGGTGAAGCCCTTCTGGCCCCAGAGGGGCTTGATGACTCAGTGGCCACAGGTGAGCCTCCTCCAGGGCCCAGTAACCCTTCGGCCTCTCCTGATCTGCAGAGGCTTAGGGCAGAGAGGCGAAGGGAACTGGTTGCCCCCAGGAGGAGTGCTCGCCTTAAGGCCAGAGGAGGCGGGGCTCCTGGGGGTCGGGACTGCCCCTGGCCTTAGAAGAGGATAAAAGCCCAGTCAGCCCGGCCCCAGGTTGCGGGAGCAACGTCGTTGTTGGCTTCGGACCTTCCTGTGTTCCTGATCCCTGCTCGGCCTCCTGTTCCTGACTATCCGGTACTCCTGTTCCCTGCTCGGCTTCCTGTTCCTGACTAACCGGTACTCCTGTTCCCTGCTCGGCCTCCTGTTCCCGACCATCCGGTGTTCTTGTTACCTGCTCAGCCTTCTGTTCCAGCGTTCCTGTTCCCCGCCCAGCTCTCTGCATCGGACCTCGCCCCTCTTCGTGTGGACTCTGCTACACCCACGGTACCTTACCCCCGGGACCAGCACAGCACACCAAAAAGTGCAAGTAGATAAATAGGTACCACTCTGGCGGGAAGGTAAACGGCATTTCTGTGCGCTGCTCTGGTTCGCCAGAAGCGGCTTTGTCATGCTGGCCACATGACCCGGAAGCTGTACACCGGCTCCCTCGGCCAATAAAGCGAGATGAGCGCCACAACCCCAGAGTTGGTCACGACTGGACCTAATGGTCAGGGGACCCTTTACCTTTACCTTTCTTTTCTGACATAGGATCAAGAACATAAAACCCATCTAAATTCACAGGTAGGGAAAGACTGTGAGCCAGTGGTGGAAAATATGTAGAAAATCATGGGTTCAGCCTCCAGCAACTTGAGGAAGGGCTTGGGAAAATCCCTCACAGGAACCCTGGAGAGATACAATGCACCAGCAGGTGGAAAAAATCAGTGGCCTGGCTCAGTACAAGGCAGCCTCTTATGTCCACATAGCTCAGAAACTAAAGTAAGTCTCATGTTTTATTTTATGAGCGCATCATCAACTTGCATTCAATTAATATTCCATGAACTTTGTGCATTTTGGGTTGAGGTAGATGATGTAGGCATTGATCCAGGCAATAAATAGAAATTTAGAGACTGGTCTTGCTCAGCAAATGCAAAATAGCTGGTGGAAGATATGAGAAGGTTTTCGGTTTTATTTCCTCCCTCTAGTTTCACAATTAATAATCTCAGAGTTAGTTTTCCTTCTTCTTCCTTTTCTGCTAGGGCATTTCAGTAAGATGCGGTGGAACAAAAAGAAGCAGTGTGAGCTAGCACAGAGCAAAGGTACGTCTAAATTTTCAGTGCATTTCCAGATCGTTGTAAACTATTGCAATCGGCGTACTATTAAAAGCACGGTTTTAAAGATTGGCTAAACATCTAAACTAGGATTAAACATCAAGATCCATGAAGAGTCTGCATTCTGAAGATGTCATCATGCTTAGATGGATGTGGTACTGTAGGTTGAGAAGGCATAATCTTCAAATTTAGAATCTACTCTTGGGAGACGGAGAACATGAAAAGGTAAGATATGGGATGTATGAAGTTGAATAAGTGATGTGTTCCAACTCTTGGGATTTATAAATTTGCTATGGTATAGAACTGTTTTCTAATCTCTTGTCATGACATTGCTTTCACTCAGTTTTATTTAGCATGATGAACACTCATACACTACTGGTTGTTGTTGTTGCTGTTGTTTTAATTTAATTGTGCTATTCTCAACATTTATAGTAGAAGAGAAAAAGATGTGCTATTTGGGGAAGTTAGTATACCCACCTCCTAGTTTCAGATTACATGCTATTCATCAGGGTAGTAGAGAGTATTGCCTGACACCTCTCCATTTCTCACACTGTCTATTGTTATAAACCAGGGATGGGAAGAAGAGAATGCAGGATCTCTGGGTGATTTGCTGGAGATGGGCAAGCCAATCAGGATGAACGTTCATTGTCGTATAACCTCCCCGCAAACCAATCGGAAAAAATGCTCAATAAATACCAGTTTAAAAGATTCAGTTGTTCAGTGGAAACAGAAAGTATGGCCCTTTCTGAAAAATTAACTAAGGAAGTCAACTGACGAGCTTCGTGGCTCAGAGATATTATTCGTTTAAAATCCTCTTAAAAGTTCATCACATTTTAGGGCAAATTTCTCCTCATAAACACATTTTTAATATACAGTTTTGACTAATGTACACATTTTTGCAAGCTGTCCCCCCCCCCCAATATCTTCATTTTTAGGCAAACTTCCCCTAATATATGCCATTTTGTAAACAGCGTTTGGTTGGAGAATGGCACTGCAAAATTCGGATAGGTGCAAATTTCAAAGGATTAGTTCCTTCAGTAAGTATGGACTGGAAAAAGTCAGCTTCAAATGCATCCTGAATAAAATTTCTCCATCCCTAGTGCTGAGTTAGGTTTTGAACACTGGTCTTCTAGATTCTACTCCAGCAATGTAACCAATGACACCACAGTAGCTCAAAACTCCAGTGCATATAGATTATAATCCTGTTCATGTAAATTATTATTATTATTATTATTATTATTTATACCCCGCCCATCTGGCTGGGTTTCCCCATCAGACTAAATAGCTGGAAATATATTGTTATAATACTGTTATAAATATATCGCTTGTTTCTTTCCAGGGCAAGAACTACACTTGGCTATTATGAATGTGTCCACGACTGAAACTCAAGCAAACAAATCAGATTTAATACAAACACTAGTAGTTGTAAAGGGAAGCCTTTATTTGGCTAACTTCATATTCATAACTGCATTGAATATATTAATAATCAAGACTGTGAGACAGAACTCTAAAATGGTGAAGGAAGTGAGATACTTCCTCCTATGCCATCATCTTCTCTGTTGCTCTTTATTCTGTTGCTCTGGCATGGTGTCCAACGCGATACAAACATTTAAAGTGCAACAATTCTGGATCTGGATCACCTTTGGAGTACAAACAGCAGTTGCAGAAGCAGTGCTGGTAACGCTGGCTTTGATGGCAATTAACACTTGCTTAGCAGTTTGCTGGCCTTTGAGATACCTGGCCTTTGTACACTTGGTGAAACGCAAAGCTATAGCTTGTGTTTGGGTCGGGACAATCCTCAAATCTGCATGCTTGATCATTGTGGAACGTACAGAAGGAGATTCGAGGGACATATATGAAGCAGAGCTCTCTTGCCCAACTATCCTGGGTAGTGATTTTGCCAAAATAACCGGAAGTATTCTCATTTTGCTTCTTGCAGCCGTCATGGTAACTGCTTATTTTCTCCTGTGGAGAGAAGGAAAGCTCAGCGGTCATTTTAACTGTTCAAATAAGAAGGCCAGAAAAACAGTCATTATTCATGGTGTACAAATGAGCTTCCATATTCTTCCATCCTTAATCTTCACAGCCATCGGAAAAGGATCAGAACATGTTCTGATAAAATTTGGAGCTTTTGTTGTTTTCTTACTTGCACAAAGCTTCAGCCCTGTGGTTTATGGGCTGCGGAACAAAGAACTTCTGGACAAGATATGTGTCAGACGAGAAAGAAATCAATACAGTAACTACTTGGTAAAGTACAACAATTACCCACCCCAACTTCAGATGGTAAAAGGTTCAGCAAATGGGTGAACCGTTTCTCAGTGTAGTGCAGAAGCACTTTCAAGTCAGCATTAGCCTTCATTAAACCATATCACACATCAAGGGATAATTCAACTCACACAACTGCATATACCAACCTATTATTTTTAAAACCAGATTTTCAGCCCCAAAGCTAGAAGCCTTGAGTGCTATATTTTTGCTTTAAAGTTTAAAGGGTAACTCATGGAAAAGACACAGCACAAGAAGTAAAGGAAACCATGGAAAAAGAGAGGGCAAGGCTCTGCCAGACAGGCTACTAGAAATGGTACACTCTGGAATCTCTAGTACAGTCGTACCTTGGAAGTCCATTTGACTTCCCAAATGTTCGGAAACCAAAGCATGGCTTCTTGATTGGCTGCAGGAAGCTCCTGCAGCCAATTGGAAGACACAGAAGCCCCATCGGACGTTCGGCTTCCAAAAGAACGTTCAAAAACCATAACACACACTCTGAGGTTTGTGGAAGGAGAGGATGCAGTAGAAGACACTTCCTCATCATAATCCCAATAGTTGCCCACCAGGGTAGTATTCATGCTGCTTTGTATCTCTTTCCCTTGGCAGCCTGTAACCCCACCTGAGCACTAACAGGTTTGAAAATCAGCATGTTCATGAAAATTTCAGCAGTTCAGCCAATGGCATAGGAACAAATTTCAAAAACATCAAGTCAGATTTCTTGCAGCTAGGGAGCTTCCAAAGGATGCAGCCAGTGTATACTACAGCTTCCGCCACCTTTTGACAGATTTTCTACATATGCTCTGTGCATTGATTTGATATTTCATATATATTTATTAAGCATGATAAACTATGAGAGTTATTCAGAGGCTTGCTTTGGTGCTAGTATGATTCAGATGTGTGAAACATTCTTAAAAATGTTTTAGGGCCTGATTGAAAATGGAATGCAGCTAGTTTTGCCCCAGCCTGATGATCACTGACTTGTGATAATGCAGAAATAAGTTTTTTCACTGGTAGCACTGGTGTTGTGAAATGCACTCAATGCTGAAATGCAACAGGTCCCTTCTTTACTGGCATTCTGCTTGCTTTTGAAGACTCACCTGTTTGCACAGGCAGTTCCTGATTTCTTCACCTCAGTCTCCTGTATTAATGGCAGCAATGTTTTAATCAGATTGTTCTATTGTGTGTTTTAATTATAGATATTTATATTTTAATAGGACTGTTTCACTGTGTATTTTAATCATGGGTTTTGATACCATAAAGTTTGTGCAACTGGTTTTTACATTTTGCGAGGTCATTTTGCATTCTGCAAGAGGGTTTCTCCTTCAAGGGCCAAAGACATCAGAAGCCCATTCCACAGTAACTCAGAGCAGTCTTTCAGTGTGGCTGTCCCTCATTTACTTTCCAGAAACAATTTAACACCTGTTTTTTCAACAAGCTTTTCCAGCTACACGAAAAAAATCTCTGTCTTAGATAATTTTGTACTGTTTCAAAGTCTATATTTAGTAGTTTTTAAACTACTTTTTGTTGTATATTTGTAAATTGCCTTGAGAAATATGAGACAGGAAATAAATAAAATAACAATAATGGTAACAATGATAATATAGTCTGTTTCCTATTTAGCCCACAGCCAAACAACCTAATGGTGCTCTTCTGAGGTTAAACTGCTACTTTGACCTCCTTGAAAAAGGGAGCGTATATAAATGTTGTTCTTTTTTTTAAAAAAAAAAATCTAGTGGGGCCATTAGTTTTCCAGCTTGGGACAACTGATTCTGACACAGTTACCCAGGTATCATTGTCTCTATGTGATGCCATTTCCCTCGCATAAAAATATGACAATGCGAAGTCTGTTGTTATGTAGCACAGGCTTCCTCAACCTCGGCCCTCCAGATGTTTTGAGACTACAATTCCCAGCATCCCTGACTACTGGTCCTGCTAGCTAGAGATCATGGGAGTTGTAAGCCAAAAACATCTGGAGGGTCGAGGTTGAGGAAGCCTGGGCAGACCTCCATTCTTGATAAACTTCATGACCTCATATCAAAGAAACTGCGCTTTTTACATGGTTGAAACATTCCAAGTCAATAAACTTGGAGCAATAATTTTAAAAAACCCTGCACATTCCTCAAGTGATGGGTGCTTGGTCCACGAACCGTACCATTTCATGCGATTTCAATAATACAGTGGTACCTCCGGTTAGGGACGCAGGTGGCGCTGTGGGTTAAACCACAGAGCCTAGGACTTGCCGATCAGAAGGTCGGCGGTTCGAATCCCTGTGACTGGGTGAGCTCCCGTTGCTCGGTCCCTGCTCCTGCCAACCTAGCAGTTCGAAAGCACCTCAAAGTGCAAGTAGATAAATAGGTACCGCTCCGGAGGGAAGGTAAATGGTGTTTCCATGCACTGCTCTGGTTCGCCAGAAGCGGCTTAGTCCTGCTGGCCACATGACCCGGAAGCTGTACGCCGGCTCCCTCGGCCAATAAAGCGAGATGAGCGCCGCAACCCCAGAGTCGGCCACGACTGGACCTAATGGTCAGGGGTCCCTTTACCTTTACCTTTTACCTCGGGTTAAGAACTTAATTCATTCTGGAGGTCTGTTCTTAACCTGAAACTGTTCTTAACCTGAAGCACCACTTTAGCTAATGGGGCCTCCTACTGCCGCTGCACCGCCGCTGCACGATTTCTGTTCTCATCCTGAAGCAAAGCTCTTAACCCGAAGTAATATTTCTGGGTTAGCATAGTCTGTAACCTGAAGCGTCTGTAACCTGAAGCGTATGTAACCCGAGGTACCACTGTATGCGTAAAAGCGAAGCTTGGCTAGGAACATGTCACGTTTCTTATGTAAATGTGAATATATAAAGCAGCCCCATACGGGGTCAGACTGTCCACCTACTTTGCTCTTGTCTACAGTGACTGGCAGTTGCTCTCCAGGGTTTCTGCAGTGTGGTGGGCCGATGCTTGGGATGGGGCAGGACGGGGGAGCATTGAGGGCTGGGCTACATAGGTGCATTAGTGAGGCCAATCCACTGCTGCTGATTGCCCTTGCCGTTAAAGGTAAAGGGACCCCTGACCATTAGGTCCAGTTGTGGCTGACTCTGGGGCTGAAGCGCCCATCTCGCTTTATTGGCCGAGGGAGCCAGCGTACAGCTTCCGGGTCATGTGGCCAGCAGGACTAAGCTGCTTCTGGCGAACTAGAGCAGCTCACGTTTACCTTCCCGCCGGAGCAGTACCTATTTATCTACTTGCACTTTGATGTGCTTTCGAACTGCTAGGTTGGCAGGAGCAGGGACCGAGCAACGGGAGCTCACCCCGTTGCAGGGATTCAAACCGCCGACCTTCTGATCGGCCCTTGCCACTACCCTACCCCAAACCACCACCCAGGTAGGCTGCAGTGATACTAGGGGCAGGACAGCAACTCCTCACTGCACTGACTGCACCTGGGTTTTGTACAGGAGACTTTCTCCCTACCTGGAGATACCAGGAATTGAAACTTTTGACTTCCTGTATGCAAAGCTTGCTCTCTACCACTGAGCAATAGCATAACCTCCAATGTTCCTCAGATGACAATAGGGACATTTCTCACTCCCTCACAACTGAGCCTCCTCGACCCCCAACATTTTTGCATCTCCTGCGCAGGGCCTTTCTGTAATTATGGCTAAGGGAAAAAGCAACAGTCTGCCCTGAGTGACACCAGCCATTATGTTTAATGTGTCACTTGGGGGGGGGAGGGGAATCGCTTATGTGTTCATTTCCTAGGCCTCAGCCTCTGACACTAGGATGACTCAGCAGAGCTTTGCAGGGCCTTTGGTATCTATCAGGCGCCACCTCAGAGAATTATGTTAGCTGTGATTGCAACTGGAGCAGAGAAGAAAGAAAGAGATAGCATGGGAACAGGTGGAAATTAGATTGACGAGGGAAAGTAATGAAGGCCGGCGCAGATTAGAGTGAAATTATGCTTTACATCCGACACGTTTGTCAGGGAGCAACAGCAGCTGTAATAAACATGAAGCGTTTAGCCATTGTTCTGATAGAAATAAAAGCAGGATGCATAAACCAGAGAGACGGAACTGTTGTCTGGAAAAGTTTATTATGACTCTCTGCAAAAAGGAAGCAAAGTACAGTGGTACCTCAGGTTACATATGCTTCAGGTTACAGACTCCGCTAACCCAGAAATAGTGCTTCAGGTTAAGAACTTTGCTTCAGGATGAGAACAGAAATCATGCTCCGGCGGTGTGGCAGCAGCGGAAGGCCCCATTAGCTAAAGTGGTGCTTCAGGTTAAGAACAGTTTCAGGTTAAGTACGGACCTCCGGAACGAATTAGGTACTTAACCTGAGGTACCACTGTAAAGCCACTCCTTGATTGTAGTAAGGAAGGACAAGGCTATGAAAACTTGATCCTAGAATTACATCGAAGAGATGTCATGATATTCAGACACAGCAGCGTTTTCCAGTTTTCCTGCACTCGGGATTATTTCTACATCAGGTAGTGTGCTGAAGAGCCCCTTGCAACTGACAAGGCATTTGATAAATTTCACAACTTGTTTTATGCACATTGCAGACCCTCCAAGTGTCCCTATTTTCCCAGGGCGTCTCTGATTTAGAGAAGTCTTCTCGGTTTCTGATTTGATCCCGGAATGTCCTGCTTTTCCTTAGGATGTCCCTATTTTCATTGGAGGGTATGGAGTTATCTGACCCCTGAACCGTCTGAAGGCAATCCTGTATAGGGAAGTTTTGTTAATGTTTAATGTTTTATTATGTTTTTATATATGTTGGAAGCTGCCCAGAGTGACTGGGGCAACCCAGTAAGATGTGTGGGGTATAAATAGTAAAATTATCCTTATGGAACAGAACGTCTCTATTTTCATCAGATAAATGTTGGAGGGTATGACATTGGACCAAAATGTGATATGCGCTTTAAGAAAATAAGATGCGCCTTGTAGCATAATAATAATGAATAAAATAAATAAATACCAGAAGATCTCAGTTACCAGGTCATCTTCTCCAAACAAGCTTCTCATTTTAGAATTTCACTGACAAACCCACAAAAGAACAAGGTCGAAAGAATAGTGACAGCATTATCCTCCATACCTGTGCATTAAGTATATATCCTCTGCTAAGATCCACACACCTTTTATGTAATTACACATGACTCATGAAGTGTAGTAACTACCTTACCTGCTCGGCCTCATTTAGTGGCTACTGCAGCTTTTAATGAGTGAATGTAGGTAAACGGTTAATACAGAATTTGTTGCAACACATACATTCGCCTGCTGAACAGTAGCCTGAAGAGTGATAAGGCAGAGTGACCCCACCTGCAGCAGATCAGCCTTCACAAGAGGAGAAGGCACTGATGAGAACCAGCTGACTCTGGCCTTCTTAAACAGAGCTCTCAGCAGCAGTCAGATGCTGGAAATGTCTGTTGTTCTTGGCCCCACTTTGCTACTTCCTGCTGGACCCTTGACTCTACATCATCTGGACTAGACCCTTAGCTCTGTAATCATCTGGATTCCCTGACCTCTGGACTGTCGGACTTCACATGTGGATTCTGCTCTCAGGCAAAGGTTCCTCAGAGACTCCTAGCTCCTGATTCTCAGCAACAGAACTCGGACAGGCTACAAGAAATGGCTCTGAGCACCCTCGGAACCAATGTATGGTTCTGATATAAGCTAACTGTGTTGTTTTGTTTTATACAGTGGTACCTCGGGTTACATATGCTTCAGGTTACATACGCTTCAGGTTACAGACTCCGCTAACCCAGAAATAGTACCTCGGGTTAAGAACTTTGCTTCAGGATGAGAACAGAAATTGTGCTCCGGCGGTGCAGCGGCAGTAGGAGGCCCCATTAGCTAAAGTGGTGCTTCAGGTTAAGAACAGTTTCAGGTTAAGAACGGACCTCTGGAACAAATTAAGTACTTAACCCGAGGTACCACTGTACTGGCCTTCTGATTCCAAACAAAATTATATTTCAGAAAGGCAGAACTCTTCAGAACACAAGCCTACAAATTTAGGAGCTGCTTCTTTTCTTCCCGGTCACCAAGATCCACCAACTGGTTGCAACCAGTTTATGGTGAACATAACATTTGCTCTGAGACTTCTTAAAGAGGCAACAAACTATTCCCATAGCTGCCACACAGGGCTGTTTTCGAAGCACCTCAGTCTACTCCCATATCTGCTACAGCAGCTGTAGGCCTCCTAGCAAGTGATGGAGGAAGATCTCTGC